TTTCTAATATATTTTTTAAAATGAGAGAGGGCTTTTAGAGACCTCAAGATCCTTTCGTAGAGGTAACTAGCATCTTTAGCTATCTCTAGGGGAGGTAGAGGGAGAGAAATAAGCAGAAGACCATTTAAGAGACAATTGAAATCAGCCTGCAAACAACTTCCTGGTGACCGTATTTTCCCAGATATGTTCACAAATTCAGTGTTTCTTTACTAGAATGGCTATTAGATTGTATTCCTAGGTCTGCACCTTGGAAATGAGTCTGTCTATCCACCTGCCCAGGTGTTCTGTCTGTGTCATGTTCCTCCAATAAGGACACTGCAGACCCCTCAGAGGGGACAGCCGATCAGGGTCACTTCTCTGAAGCTGTGCAAAGCTCTGATGTGCTCCAGGCTCCTCTAGCCTGACAAATGCTCTTCCATTTGCCCTCTTCTCTCATCTCCTATCAGCCCCGCCTACAGGGCTTCAGCCCCTGCTTTTCTCAATTTGAGGATGCCCGCGGGCCAATTAAAACAGCAAGAGCAGTTGCGTTGTGTGCTCTGGGTTCTATTGCAGAGAAGATTAGCTTCCTCATTATGGAGTACAAAAACCCAAGAGACTTTGTTCTCACTAGCAGACCGGGAAGCCTTTGACAAATTCTCCAGGCACCTCACTCTGGGGCTTTTCTGGGAGTACAGACATAAGGCATGTTGCACTGGACACACACACACACACACACACACACACACACACACACACGCACGCATGCACACGCACGCATGCACAGGCACACACACACACACACTTGACCAACCAGCACTTTTCCACAATCACATTTAAATGAAGAGCAAGCGTGACTTTAAAGGGAAGAAGTTATAAAAGGGCAGCCTAAGGAATACGTGAAAGTAAAGTGGGACAACTTAATTCACTTCTATTTACATATTTGGTGATGGTGCTAGGCTTCCAGGCTGACTGCATGGACTAATAGAGGGTAATTAGAAACGAATATTCACAAAAATGTATTACTCAGTCACTAGGTCGTATGTGAACATGCAGTCAAAAGCAATTTGTACAGGAACTCTCACTGTTTTTCCTACAATTATACCAATGTTCACTATGCACCCCTGGGTCATATTATAAGTGATCACCAATAATAGTCACAATGACAGTCAAAATGTGGCTGAAAGAAAAAAGTTACAAAAATGAGTTGCATATATCAATATATGTTCCTATATAATCTAGAGTATATCCTAGATGTTGAGTAATGAACTTTGAAAGCGTTCCATCCTTATCGATTCAATTATATATTAACTCAAAGTTGGATGAGGGTTTTACTTATCGTTGTTGTTTTTTGTAAAGGTTTTTTTCTTTTTCTTTTTTCTTTTAACAAGTAAGTGCCTGTGACCAGCTGCTCAGGGACTCTCCAGGCTTGGTAGCCAGGACAATCACCATGGTTACCATGCCCGAGGGAGGGCTTGGACTGAGGTTATGGTCTGCAAGGTGAGGGGCACAGCCTTGCTGGGTTGCCCTTGGCTGGGAGAGCTTCAAGATGGTTTCTCTGTTTTTTTCTCTACAGCACAATAGGCTTGATTCTCCTTCCCAACCCAGGAAGCTCTAATGAGTTGCCCCTTGGGGTCAAAGAGAGGAAAGCCTTTACGGGCCCCCTTTGGGACTATTAGTGGCTAGCATTTTCACATGTTGGAAAGGGCAGGTCCAGCCACAGCAGCTGAGATTGTGTAATGGGCTGAGCAGCCATTTGGAGGCACTGCCAGTCCCTTCCTGACCCTTCCCTTTTTGGGTGAAAGAAGAGACTTTGCACAGGGTGCAGAGGGTTGTACAAGGGTCCCTATGCCACAGGAGCTATCCCTTCATCCCGTGGAGGGCACCCAGGGAATTTTCTGGTCATGGACACCACAGCCTCCTCCCCTCTCTGCTCCATCCACTGTCACCCCCAACAGCCTCTTGGATCTCTTCCCTTAGAAATTGGGCAGAAGGGTAACAAAGATGCAATTCTATGCTCTCTTCCCACTGCCTACTGCAGATTTTGGCTCTTGTGTTGTTTCTATGACAACAGTGTTACATATTCAACACCTGATAAAACAGCTGTGCAGTTATGTGAGCCATTATATTTTTTATCACCTTCTGTATTTGCTAAACTTAAGTATGTTAATAAATAATTCCTAAATATAAACCACAGAACATGAATCTGTATTTGTAGCAAATGTAAACTACCGTCATTTCTACCTAAAATAATAATTATATAGCTTGCCTTTATTAATTGAGGGCTTACTGTATGCTGAGCCCGGAATCAGTGCTTTATATGATTTTATTTATTTCAATAAATAAATAAATACACTTAAGCATCACTGAAATCCTAAAAAGTAGGTTATATTATGTTCATTTCACAAATGAAGAGAGTAAGTTTCAGAGAGAGTTTTAAAAAATTATCTAAGGTGACACAAGTGTGCAACGTGTTGTAGGGCTAACATTCAAAGCCGGGTTGGCTCCTGACCCCCCTATATTGCCGCCCTTAAGTCTAGGGTAGGTTAAAACCTGTAGCAGGTTAATAAGTTAGCTCTTTCCAATGGGAGAGGATAGAGACTGAGTGAGGTAGGACTGAGATTTATAAAATCAAACTTTGGATATGGAGAGCATATAGCTCCAAACACCGAAATAAAAGAGTTTCCTTTGTGAATATAAGATAAATTTGTTTAGAAACACACAGAGCTTGTGGATTTCTTTATCCTCTTAGGGGTGGTAAAGATATGAAACTCTAATTGGTCAGTAAGTCAAAAATGGAAACAAGTTCAGGGAGGTCATGAATGACTTTGTTGATCAGAGAATCAAGTACTTCCTTTTAAGTGTTAGGTTGAATAGGAAACTGTCAATTTTTGTTTAAAGACAAATGTTATCGATTTCTTATGGTTTCAACTTAGAGGCGTGTGCCTGACTTTTATCTCTAAAGTATACAGAGTATACATAAAGTTACCTTCTATTCTCCAAACCTGGATACAAGACGCAAGGACCCAGTGGTAACATTTTTGGTCTTGGTTTTGTAGACAATTTTACTAAAATCGTCTTTTCTCTTTCCTACTCTGTTATGTGTGTGTGTTAAAGTTGGGGAGTAGGATTGGTGGGGGGCGGGGAGAGGGACTAGGAAATCTAGCTTTTAAGTCCTTTGGTTGTCATAGAACTGAAAGTTGGGTTTTGGTGTTCATTTTGCTCTAACCATCTGATGGACCTGTGGCAAAACATCCAACCCTTTAAGATTTCAGTTTACTCACTTGTCAAATGGGGAGATGTATACTTTTCAGTTCTAAAATTTTACAGAGTTAAGAATAAACAGATGGCTTTTGCTGTCAGAGTTGTCAAAATCTGGTCCTGGATCAGTTCTCCTCTCAATATGGCTTTTTAGAACCCCGGAATCAACTCATGATCCGATACGGATAAAGCAACTGAGATGAGATTCTTCACCTAGGGGCCATGCATCTGGGTCTGGCTTGCCAGATTTAGCAGATAAAAATGCAAGATGTCCAGTTAAATTTGAATTTCAGATAAACCACGAATTATATCTTAGTAAAAGCACATCCCATGCAATATTTGGAACCTACTTATACTAAAAACTGGTTTGTGATTTATCTGAAATTCAAGCGTCGCTGGGTATCCTATATTTCATAGGGCAACCCTTTTCTGGGTTTGGTTTCAAGGGGAATCCTTGAATTCCATGCAATTTTCTGGAATACTATGAAACATGTTGTGCATGTGTGTTTCTGTGCATTTTTCCGTAGAGTGGGCCCGGAGCTTGCATGAAGCTTTCAAAAGAGTCCATAACCCAAAGTAGATCCAGAACCACTGTACTGAGAATGATGCTGCCAAGAAATGGTAACACATTCTACCCTCTCCTTCGAGTGGGTAAGTTTGCAGTTGTGCAAGCATCACACTGCAAACAAGTTCCTCTGGGCCTGAAACGGATCTCAGATGAAATGCTCCTAGAACTGACTTATAGACAAGAACTGTCACTTTAAATTTAAGAACATTATTTTCCCCCGCTGTCCTGAACCCTCGCCTCCTGCGAGAGGCTCTACACAGGACAGGCTTAAAATCCATGTGTGCTCAAGTGTCACTGTCACTCCCATGCCAGAATGAGCTGGGATCCCAGAATGTCCTCTCGCCAAAGGGGTAAATGAGCTGCGCCTGCTCTCTGTTCCTGCCACATTCCAAGCGCTGCATCTGTCGGGGCTCATCAGCACTGACTCCCGGAATAGAAACGCCGCTGCTGCTGTGCGGCTTGCCATTTTAAGTGAAGTCTGATGCCAAGGGGGGGTTTCCACTTTACCATTTCATTTCCAACATGATCGCTAATATAAAACGTATGTTGGTATAGCCATATGTGCGCATTTAGAACAACAAGTTGGTTTATAGTTAAATTACAAATTGGTCCTTTTTTTTGCAGGCGGATTTTCTATTTTGTCAATAGGTTATATTTTTGGGGAATTTGAAGTCTGATTTTCTTTTTTTTTTTTTTTTTTTTTTGGCTACCAATTTCATTAAAACGAAAAACTAATTGCATTTTATCTGACATTATTGGCTACCACCTGTTTACATGGTTCCTGACAAAAATGGAGAAGAAACTCTAAACTCTGTGAACCAAACCTAAGAATTTAGCCCCCCCCCCAGCCCTTCCCTATAAAATAGAGGAAGAAAAACATACATAGGACTTTAGAGACTTAAAATTATTGTTAGAAATTTCAAGCAATTTTACTTTTTTGAAGCATCCCTCTCATGCATTTCTATTACTAGGTATGACATTCTCCAAATCTAGCACATTCCTTAGATTTCAAGGAAATGTTTTTTGGCTCCCAACTTCAGATCAGGGACATGAGCAAACTAACCCAGCTGTAGACACCTTCAGTGAAATAGCTCTACAACCACAAACATTCAGGTGGGTCCCCACCCTCTCCCACCCACAGACCCATACACACCCCAGAATCTAGAAAACTGGAATCGGAGAGCGCAGCCCTTACCCTCCTGTGTGAAGTGGCCTCCCCGACTTGTGGTGACAAACTCTCAGCAGCAGACTCCTCTTGGGAAAGTAATCTGTAGAGAGAGAGAAAGGGAGAAGGAAAATCCGGTGAGGAGCCACCAGCAGCCACCTGACAAGTCCCAGCAGCAATTTTTAGAGTGACCCTTTGCTGTCCCACTGGCTACAGTGGCTGAGTCTGCGCTCTCACCCCAGCGGCCCTGTGAGCGCTTCTTTCCCTGTTTGGCCTTCAACTCCAGGCCACCCCGGGGCAGAGGGCGGAGCTCTGGTTGGAGAAGAGGGGTTGGGTTTCTTGACCTGCCCCGTTGTTTTTTTTTAAAAAGTCAAGAGCTAAGTCAACCTGGGTGTGAGGAAAGAAAATTAATTAGGTGGGTATATAATTGTTCGGAGCAGGGAACAGAGTGCATGTGTTTGGTAAAAGGAAGGGAAAGTTGTGGATGGAAATTAGCTTCCACAAAGGTAAATAGTCTGGTCACCTCAGGTCCTCTGAAAAGACTGAGCTTATAAATAGACTGTTCTTTAGAAGAGGAGCACATGTTTAGGAGGACAAGATGCTTTCTATGGTACCTCACATATGGCACCAGCGTTATTTGAGTCCTCATCTAGTTCAATAGAGTGAAGTTCACTACCAGTCCTTGACTGTCCAGTGATTCATAGGGAGGTCTGAGATGACCACACACTCTAGTACACATGCAGGCTGGGAAAATATCTACTTTGGCAACGCTCATGTGAAAAAAAAAAATTCAGAGGATTATAATTGACCGCAAGCTTTTAATAGTCACTGACAGTGTGAAATGGCTGCTAAAAAAGTTAGCCTGATATTAGGCTGCAATAATAGAAAAACAAATCATGGAAAATAAATGTTCTGATTAGCCTTCACTAGTCAGGTCACGCTTTGCCGCCTTGGCCCACTAAGAAATTATTTTGCACCCTGAAGGAGATGGCTGGAATGAAGCCAGTTTCAGAGCTGTGCATACTGGGACCGTCTGCAGACAGGTAGGACTGGGAGAGAGCTGAGGACAGATGAGGCTCCTGAGTGCTAGTGTTTTGGCTGCTGCTGTGCAGCAAGTGGATTCAATTAAAATTTTTTGGAACCTATGATGCCAAAAATTTGGCCCAGTGGGTAGAAATACCAGGGAAATAAATTAAAACTAAGGAAGGAAAACTCTGATGATAAAAACTGGATTCTACTGATGAAAATGGGTTCTAATGATAAAACAGGCCAATGTCCTATGATTGGAAGTGTGGAGGTAAAAGGGCACTTGCACTGGATCATCTCTGATATCTTTCTAACCTACTACTCTTATGATTCTATATGTGTAGACATCTTTCAGCTCATTGGCTAGCATTTTAATGACCACTTCTATGTGAATTCCAGCCAGCTTTTCAGTAAGGAAAACTATATATACATATATTCAATCTCTCTCTCTCTCTCTCTCTCTCTCTCTCTCTCTCTCTCTCTCTATATATATATATATATATATATATATATGTCTATATATCTATATATTTGTTTTGTTTTGTTTTGTTTTGTTTTGTTTGTTTGTTTTTGTTTCCACCCATAGATCTCCGGCCCAGAATGTGTCAGATGTAAATCAAAGGAGTTCTTTTTTCTATGGTTTACATGAAGCTAACAGAGGACCACTTCCAAGTGTTCCTTCTTGTTCCCACCTCCTTGACTTCAACAAAGGGCTAGAGCATTCAACTCTGTTCTTGCTGCGATAAAAATCAGCCTTATATCAGTATTTATGATAATGATGGTATGATGATGGAAAGAACCTTCAAGCAGTAGGTGTTGGAATCAATACTGTTGTCTTCAAGGTTTCAAGATGATTAATTTCAGTTCTATTAGAACAACACTGAGCTACTCCTTTCAATAGAATATTATTTGAGGCAGTGGTATGAACATAAGTGGAGGAATAAGTGACAAAAATGGAAAAATCTAAGAAGTACTTCAATAAAAATCATTTGCAGAGTAGCTATGATATGCAATCATTAAACTGCTGGTATGGTTGACATGCTGAAAATATAGGGGGCATAGAACATGAATGGAAAAGGAGCCTGGTCAGTAGATTATAATGTATATTAAGAAATTTGAAATTTGATTTTATCCTCAAAGCAATGGAGACCTATTTATTAAAGTTTATTTTTTTTTAAAAAAGGTGCCATGATAAGATTGGCATTTAGAAAGACTATTCTAGCATTTGGTGTGTATAACTTCAACAGAATTTAGAGTTTTATAAAGAGATTGAAAATATTAGATAAGTTGTCAGCAAATACCGGGGTAGAGTAGGTGGTATTAGTGGTTTGAGGAAAGCGGAGAAGGTATCAAATTATCTGGGAGAGTGAAGGAGGACATGGCTGGGGTGGCCAGGCAGAATAGGAGGCCCCCTTGAGGATAATGGCCATGACTGTTGGTCTGAGACCTGTCAGTGTGCTGGTATGTTATCCCTAAGCCAAATTCAGCTGCAGAGAAACCAGAGAGTTGGGTTTAACTGGAGAAGGGGTTTTGCAAGGTGGACAATTTATTTGTTTTCATTGTTAGTGCCCATCTCTCCTTCACCAACCCTCTGCTTCCTCTGCCACAGATCATCTCAAATGTAAGCTCCATGAGGGCAGGGGTCTTTATTTTGATAACAGATGAATCCCAAGTGCCTAAAACAGTGCCTGGCACATAGTAGATGATAAATAATTGTGTACTAACTGAATAAGTGAATGAAGGAAGGAAGGAAGGAAGGAAGGAAGAAAGAAATGAATATTGAATAAGATGAATAAAATGAAATTAGAAGGCAAGAAAGTTGAGGGTGTATACAAAGAAATATTGTAATGGCGGACCATAAAACTGAGCTGAATAAGGAAGGAAATGAGGTCATTGAGGATAGTGACTTCATCTTGTTAATTACTGTAACCTCCGAATCAAGACAATGTCTAGCATATGGTAGGTTTTCAATAATACTTGTTGAATAAAAAAAAATACTGACAACACAGTAAAATACAAAGATGGGAAGTATTGTGATATTTTCCTTTTTACTTATTTTAGTTGTCTCTTACAGAAATTCATAGGAATTCTCTAACAAAAACAAGTGTCTCTCTGTAGCTGAAAGAACAGTTAATGACAATAATCCATGTCTCCAAAGTGTACTTATCTGCTGTAGATTGTAGCTCTGATAATTTATCCGGTTCTCGCTTTGTACTGCCAAATAGGAAGTAGGAGTGAACAATCACAGTTGAACAATCATTCCTACCAATTAGAATGCTGCTTCTCAAACTTTAATGTACACAGGAATTTCCTGGGGACCTTGCTAAATATCGATTCTGATGAGCTAAGTCTGGAATGGGGCCCAAAATTCTGCTTTTCTAACAAACACACAGGTTATGCTGATGTTACTGGTGCAAGGACCACACTTAGAGTAGCAAGGATTTAGAGTGCTTGGTTACTAAACAGCTGAAGGGCAAAGGTTTGTTAAAAAGGCAATAGAAGCCATTCCATCAGAAGGCACTCAATGTTCCAATACCAAATCTTCCAATCTACCTGGAAGAAGTCCCCTGACTTTCCTCCTTTGCTTTGTTAAACTGGAACAGCCCTCCTTCTAAACCCAGCCCCTCTAGTGCTTTGGATTCCAGAAACAGACAACTGTTCAGAAACCCTGCTCTATCAGGTCTTCCCACTCTCTTGTACCCATCCCTCCATATCTGTCAGACAATTTTCACCACTATTTATTGGTACCCAAACTCTCCTATTTAAAAACAAACAAACAGATACAACAAACAAAGCTTTCAATTTAGTCGATGTTCCCCTCCAGTTAATGCATATTTCTCTCCACTTTTTCACAGGCAAACTTCTCAGATGTATTGTATGTATCAGCTGCCTCTGTCCTGTTGCTTCCCATTTTCCCCTCAATTCAATCTAACCAGGCTTCCTTGTTTGTCCTTTTACCAAAGTGTTTTTGCCAAGGTCATAAATAATCCTGAGTCACTATGTTTTTTTGGTCACTTTCCAGGACTTGACCTTTCAGAAGTATTCCACACAGTTGAATAATCATTTCTACTAAAAATGCTTTTTTCCCCATTGGTTTTGGTTTTTCTCCAAATGCTCTGGTGGTTTCTTCTCATTCTCCTTTCCTAGTGGAAGGTCTTTTATCCAACTCTTGAAGATTAAAGTGCTTCAGAGCTCTCCTAGACTCTTTTCTATCCTGAAAACTGCATCTGGTAGATGAGTTCATACTCTTAAGTATCTCACAGGCTCCTTAAGCTCATTATTTCCAAGACTAAAGTCATCCTTCCCCCCAAAATATGTTCTTCCTAGAATATTCCCTTTGTTAGTAAACAAGCCACCACTCACTCAGTTCCTTAAAGGGTAAATCTGGACCATCATTTACCTCTTTCACACCATCCTGCACTCCCATTTCCACGTCGGATTAATCATTGTGTACTGTTATTGCATATTTGTAATTTCTCTTCCACTGCTATCATTCTGGCTCAAGCCATCATCCCCTCTCACCTGGACCATTGTGAAATTCCCCTACATGACTTTCCTGTGTCCACTTGCTTCTGTCCAATCCATCTTCCACACAGTGTAACAAAAGTGTTATTTTCAAATCTGACCATGTAACTCCCCTATAGAAAATTTAACAGATTTCCATTTCCTCAGGATAAAGTCCCAAATCCCTCTCTGGCTTACAGTGTCTTTTAGCCATCTGATTTCTGTCTACCTTTGTGAACTTTTCATGCTCTAGCAAAACCAGTCTCCTTCTAGTGCCTCAAACAAAAAGTTGAGGGGATGTGATTTCTATGATTAGATTACAAAATATTGTTACTTCCATCTTAATAGCAGAATTTCTCCATTGCTGGCTTTGAGGAAGCCCAAGGCCATGCTGGAGATGCGCAGGCAAGAAACAGCAAGCTAGGAAATAAAGCCCTTAGTTCAACATCTCCCAAAGATATGAATCTTGCCAACAACTACTGCATGAACTTACAAGTAGATGCTTCCCCAGTTGAGCCTTCAGATGAGACCTCAGCCCTGGTCGGCATCTTGATTGCAGCCTCATCAAAGACCCAAAGCAGCGGACCTGGTTAAGCTCTGCCTGGATCTCTGACCCATAGAAACTGAAAGGATAAATGTATGTTGTTTTAAGCTGTTACATTATGCAGCAATAGGTATCTAACAAAGTACCCTTCTATGTG